CACTTCTCTCGCTGGATGGGAATTCTCTCTTCATCGCGCGAACCATCAGTCGTCCTCATACACTCACCCACACACCCACGCACGCACGCACACGCACAATCACACTTCTCTCGCTGGATGGGAATTCTCTCTTCATCGCGCGAACCATCAGTCGTCCTCATACACTCACCCACACACCCACGCACGCACGCACACGCACAATCACACTTCTCTCGCTGGATGGGAATTCTCTCTTCATCGCGCGGACCATCAGTCGTCCTCGTCTTCGGTGAATGACAGATCAAGGTCGAGCTCTGCCGTGACGTCACGATAGTACTCCTCCTCCTCGCTGCTCGACACGTGCGCGTCTCCCTCGATGAAACTAGCAAACCTGAAGCGACAAGCATTGACGGAGAGGTGACAGAGAATTGACGAGGAGTTGATAGAGAGGTGACGAGAGTTGACAGAGAATTGATGGAACATTGCCAGATAGGTAACAGAGATTTGACAAAGAGTCGACAAATGTGACAGAGATTTGACAAAGAATTGAAAAAGAGGGGACAGAGGTGATGGAGAATTGACAAAGAGTTGACGGTGAATAGAGTTGATGGAGATGTGACAGATAATTGACGGAGAATCGATGGAGAGGTGATGGAGAGTTGACGGAGGCGGAGACTTACTTTGACGGGGTCTTCAGCTGACCGACAGTCTTCCATGGACTGCACGCGGGACTCTGACAGTACCTCCTCAGCTCCTCCAGCGCCCTCCGCGTCTCCTCCTCCCCCTGCTGCTGGTACTCCTCCTCCGTGAGCAGCCGAGGCTTGGGCGGAAACCGCCTCTGCCTGCATGCGCACGCGCAGGGAAGGAAGAGTGATGTGGGATGTTAGTTAGAAGAGAGGTATAAGATATATACGATATGAGATATAAGATATAAGATATATAGGATATAAGATGATATAAGATATAAGGTATATATATAAGATATATAGGATATAAGATATCTAAGAGGTGACGTGAGAGATGCTAATTGGAGTTAACGAGAAGTGAAGTAAACAGTAAGGTAATACTTCTCTTGGAACGTATATATGCAAACACATAAATAAATATATGTATATACTACATAGGCCAATAAAATAAGTCTAACAACAAGATGAGACGATAAATAATAAATTACATGCATGCACATACACAGACACATGCCTCGCATACACCTGCAAGCTCGCAAACACGCATGCACTCACGCACGCACGCACCCCCCCACACACTACGCACGCACGCACGGACCACACACACTCACCACCGTCCCCCACTCTCCCCCCGCACCTCACTCACCACGCCTTCGTGACGAATCCTCCGCATGGCACGGCTGGCAGCACTCTCATCGCTATCACGGCCAACACGATTCCCACTGACACCTCGTCCACCTGTGTGCCATAGTAGACTGCCGCCAACGCCACCGCCTGCATCGCCCACTGCATGACAGCAGTATGGCGAGAGAGAGAGAGAGAGAGAAAGAGTCAATTGTATAACAAAAATTAAATTTGGAAAACGGCATGCATAACATCAGGAGTGATTAATAATAGAATAATTATAAATATATAGAATAGAATAGAATATAAAATAATAGAATAGTAATAATAATCTATTATTATTCACTCCTGATAACAGCATAGTGACAGCGTATATTTGGAGCAGACGCTATTTGGAATTACAGTTGTATTACATTTGTATAGGACACTAAGGAATTCAAAATGTTTGTAATAAGAAAGGCTGTAACGTGTAGTTTAAATTTAAAATGACGGGATCACGCAAAAGAACGTCAAGCAAAACTAGATCCAGGCATTCTTTTCACCTGAGAAACTATACAAGATGCAAATACTTGGACCATGAGAATTATTACTACAAAGACCACGACACCATTATAAAAATTTCACCGATAGTTAAGTCTAAAATGCCACAACTTTTGAAGCGAGAGCACCATGGAAAAAATCACGAGATTTCCGCATACGCTATTCATACACGTATATGAGTTGCTCACAACTTATACAATATGTATAATATATACGAATACATGTGAGATTACGGGGCCCCAGAATACGAAACCACGACAGAGATGCCAACACATATTTGAAGCAATCTGTAGTTTCTGGCCATCAAATTAGTAGTTCGATGGTCACGTAGTGACCCGAGTTTGCTAGGGGGGTCCGGCATGCCCCCCGGAAAATTTGTTGATTCTGAGGGACAAAAATGACAATAAATTGAAAAAAATGACAATAATTGGCAAAAAAAATTTCTTTTCCGATCACAGTCAAATTCGTAGTTTGATACAAACTGGTCGTAGTGGTGCAAAAGGAATAGAAATTCGTATAAAATACGGATAAATCGTAGTGGTTGGCATCTCTGCCACGACCTTTTACCAAACCAACGCGCGTGCGGCTGACCTGAATGAGATCGAGCGAGCGCGCGTCTGTGACGGGACCCTTGCGGTAACAGACGGCGAAGCTGACGGTGGCGGCGATGGCGACGTAGGCGGCGACGTAGATCATGTACGCCTGCAGCACGCTGGATATGTTCTCCCAGAGGAAGCGGAAGAAGTAGACGACGACCGAGGAGCCGCCGACGAGAACAGAGTACGCACCGACCTTCTGCAGAGGAGGAGAAACGACGTTCGGTTAGGGTTAGGGTTAGGGTTAGGGTTGGGTTTAGAATTAGGGTTGGGTTTAGAATTAGGGTTATATCACTCGGAAATCGACGTCGTGTCTGGCGCTGGCTGCGACGCCGATGCAGGACGCTCGGAATGCTGGGAAGGCGACAGAGCGCGCGTGCAGCGGCGTCGGGTTGATCCAGCTCGACTCGAACGCTTCGTAAGCATCCGCAACGTCGCTTGTGTTCGTTCCCCGAAACAAACTGAAGTCTTCACTGGTGATGTTGAGCAGTAACTGCGGAGATACGAACGAAGGCATCGGCGGGGGTCGTATACTAAACGAAACCCTTTTTTATCACCAGTTTTCCGAGGAAAGGTCAAGACTCCATTTTCCAGGATTTCGAGATTTCAGCCAAATATAACCTTAGTGGTTCGTATCCTCCAATCAGCGATTAGTGAACATTTGAGATTTCATCAAGTCTTGCATGAGGAAAATTGTTATTGCTTCTCAGGCAAGATAGGTCAATTTCAAGGAATTTCTAAGATTGAACACAATAATAGCTCATTTTCAAGGAATTTCTAAGATTGAACACAATAATAGCTCATTTTCAAGGACTTTAAATGTAAATATTAGAAGTAATATATAGTTTTACAGACTTTTACGATAATATCAATTTTTATAGGTAAATATGAAATAAACTTCGTACCACCGGTTTTATCCAAAGATACGGCAAATATTTCGGGAATTCGGCCAACTTCCCAGCGTAACAATAGATCGTCAGCTTCGGGCCGGTGACGCTCGCTGGCGCCATCTGCCAGAAGCCATCGTAAACTTCTGCGAATGTGAAGTGAGAATCACTGTTATTCAACACTAGTGTGTACGGCATGTTGTGACCCACCTGCTACACATAACTCTAAAATAATGGCTCTTCGTTCACTTACTATTGAAAAACATCTTGTAAATAAGTTATTCTGTATTTCTTACCCTAATGCTAAATTAAGCTACCCCTAGCCTAAACCGAACCTCATAACCTAGCGCTAACAGTCGCATGGCTAACCCATTTTCTCTGGAGGCAAAGCCACGCATGTGATGTGTTCTGGGAAGGTGACCGCCATTTACCATGTAATGTATCTAGATCTACATTTCTCTAGTGGTGGGGGAGGGGGGCAATGCACCCTTGTCCCCCCCCCCGTTAGCTACCGCCCTGCCTATATGTACCCTTAGCTAAGTAAAGCATCCACTGTAGTTGTTTTGTCTAACGTTACATAGTACCCCACCACGGTTAATTCCCAGTTGTGTGCCAGCTTATCACACCTAGGCTGGCACGTCTGAATATAAGCTGGCTGTGAAACATTGGCATATTACGCTGTACAGTTCAGGGGCGTAGCCAGGGGTGATTCCAGGCATTCCGGAATCCCCCTCTGGTTTGTATCAAAATAGCACATATCTGATACAGTATGTATATTATAAAAGCATGAAACGAAAATGTTAACAGTTTTATTAGTACATAGCAGGTTTGGAATCCCCCCTCTTGGAAAGGCTGGCTACGCCCCTGAGTAGCTGGTGATGTACACAGTAGCTTTAAAATTGCTTGCCCAGCTCTATGTTACTGTAGCAACACTAGATACAAATGACAATAATGTAACCCTACTCTTGTTGGGTTACATTATTGTATCTATAACAACACGTGACGATCTTGCTGAATACTGTGTGGTGATAGCTCAAGTACTATATTAGCCCACGTACAGTTGCCGCAGGGCTATAGGACATTCTAGTACGAATGCTAGGAACCAACCCACTGACTGGCGCTGCTGCAGCGCCGCCAAAAATTGCCGTTTGAAGTTCGCAAATCGAATGTTCGTTCACAAGAAATACCGCACGCAGACCATTTCAACGATAGTTAGAGGTTAAATTTTAGTTGCAGATATAACTTAAAACATATTCACTTCGGATAACTAAGAGGCATTAATTTAACCCTATCACAGACGTTTTATAGCCGCAAGTAACCGTTACTAAGTTGGTCCCGAGCATCCTCCAGGCTATAGTTACTAGAGCTAGTGTGGTGATAGAGCTGTCAGATGTAGCTCTAGTAACTATAGCCCGCGTACAGTTGCCGCAGGTTGCCTGCGGCAAATGTAAGCGGGCTATAGTTACTAGAGCTAGGTCAGATGTGACCATCCGTCATAATTTTCATTGTGATTGTGTTCATTGCTAGGAGTAGGACGTTATCTGGTCGAACTCACAAGTATTAACAGATGCAATCCTAGCTTGTGGAGCCTGTGTCTCATGTTCACAAATGTATGGGTAGAGACATGAAATTCTACTATACTAGTATGATATCTCTACTTGATTTTACCTGTCTGCGTACTAAACAATACAGTAAACTAGGGCTCAAGGGGTCGTTGTCGTATCAAGGTACTACAGATATGTACCCGAGGTACATATAATTGTACCAGACTTGTACTACAGTCTACAGAAGTGTACCCTAACCCTAACCATAACCCTAAACATACCTCGTATAAAAATATAAACGTAATACTAAACAACCTAAAACTACCTCGGGTACATATCTGTAGTACCTGATACGACAACGACCCCATCTGCTAAACTAGGGCAACAACTGCAAGATCATAATAACATAAATAATAATCTGCATTATAGGAAAATGGTACATAGGTATATTATTATATATATTATTTCAAGATCCTATAGCTCACTTCGTTGTTCGTAGTGATCATTAGATGTTAATACAGTTCCTAAAAGTATGTAAAAGATAAATAATCGTAGAATTATTGAAATCACAGTTGAAACGAGCGCTGCGCCAGCCATTTTTAGACGAACAGCGCCACCTAGTGCTCAAATAATTATGCAATTTTGTATCTATAATTTACGTAATGGATCCTTTCTTTTACTTACCTTTCTCTAATGCACATATTTCTTTTCTATGTAACTTTACGTTTAAATTATTTAGTCTTTTGGGGTCTTTCGTAAGGTAATAAACATTAAGTTACTAACTACCAACTATTCTACCGAGAACGGTCGAGGTCGTTTGTCTCATAGATATCTATATACTATAACACAGTGTAGTATATAGTGTGTTACGGTAGATATCTATGATTTGTCTAACCCATTCGATTACAGACGTAGTCACGTTGAGCACACACTAACTCAGACTTGTGCAAATCGCTACATATCATATTACTTTAATTTCATGGAACGACGAGTTGCAAAATAGCACGAAATTTAACCGTAATTTCACATTAAACTATGGATCGTTTGCACTGAAGATTGGCTCGCACACGAATAAACGTTCGTTGAAAATATGCTGACTTTTCGTAAGTAAAACCTGCCTTCTATTCGTCTTCTGGCCAGTTTATCCGGCTTATATTAATCTCCCTAACGTACATACGCACGTTTATAGCTAAAACACCGAGCGAGAAAAAATAAAACAAAACAAAACATAATTCGATTCTATATACCGCTTGTGGCATTGAACATCAGTTAGCAAAACGCCATGTTTACAAAAACACGAAAAAAGACATTAACTTTACTTATTAATAATGAAATTTTAATATTTTCCTATCATGCATGATGATACACAGTTATACAGTATCACCACTGTCATAACAAACATGTGATATATATTATTTATAATAATTGTTTCCATTCGGTATAAAGACGAGCAACTGAATTCACTATACTGCACTATATATATACATGTATATATATATATATATATATATATATAATATGTATCTCTATACAGGAAAATTTTAATTCGATACCTGCTAAGGGCTCCAGCACTGAAGAACAGCAGAAGTCCGGCAATCAAGCTTAGTAATCTCACCGGGTCTACGGCTGTAAGGAAAACAGATTAGACGTGTGTGAGTGTAAGCCACAGACCTACGTGTGTGAGTGTAAGCCACAGACCTACGTGTGTGAGTGTAAAAAAACGGATCGGACGATGGGAAATTTAACCGGGAATTTTCGTCGTTACAAATGCCACGTTCCAACAGCATCCTGCTGGTTAGGGAAACCAAACGTTTATAACTTGCTATAGAATAGAATCGGCCCTCGTTCACACATGCGAACCGCGTCACGATTACGTCAGGAAATAATTAAAAAAAAATTAGTGGAAAATAATAATCTCGTCTCTGCTGTCTCTCACCGGGTGGCGCTGCATGTTCTAACTACACGTGTATGATTACGCAGCTCACGTGAAAAACCGAACTGACATGCTCATCAGATGGCACCACATGCTCCAGCTAGAAGCGTACGTTCACATAGCTCGAGTGAATCAACGGACGCTCACGCTCACCTTTGGTATGAATCGACTGACGAGAAATACTATGATGAGGAGTGAAGCCAGCACGCCGATCGTGATGCCGGAAGAATAGTAGAACACCACATTCCTGTAGAGAACGACAACAGCAATGATAATATCAAAACAAACAAATAAACAACACCAGTGGTAATAACAAACAAACAAACAACACCAGTGGTAATAACAAACAAACAAACAACAACAACAGCAATAATAATAACAAACAAACAACAACACTAATGATAATAACAAACAAACAAACATCAACACCAATGATAATAACAAACAAACAACAACACTAATGACAATAACAAACAAACAAACAACAACAGCAATGATAATAACAAACAAACAACAACACTAATGATAATAACAAACAAACAAACAATAACAGCAATGATAATAACAAACAAACAACAACACTAATGATAATAACAAACAAACAAACAACAACAGCAATGATAATAACAAACAAACAACAACACTAATGATAATAACAAACAAACAAACAATAGCAACAACTATAAACAACAACTACAATAATAGCAATAAAAAATCGACGAGTAAATGTTTGCACACATAAAGCGTGGAAAATCGACTCGAAACTAAAAGT